ATGAAGAATATTTTATTGGAAACTGGAGGGAAAGCAATCTTTGTTGTAAAATGTCAAAGAATTTGGCTAACTGTGTGCTGGTGTTTTGTGGAAGGTGGAAATTGCAAGTGATGAAATGTAGATATTTAGCTGAGGACATTTCTAAGGAAAGCATAGAAGGAGTGGTTTGGTTCCTTCTGACTCTTACAGCAAAATGTGAAAGGAGAGAGAGAAATTGAAAAGGAATTATTAAACAAAAGGAACAAGATTTTGAAGTCTTGGGAAATTCTCAGCCAATCCATGTTGCATAGAATGAGAACTCTTGTTCTGAAGAGAACTGAGACTGAGCAACCATTTGGTAAGAAGATTAGCATGAGTGTAAACATGAAGCTAACCAGCCTTGCAAGCCAGAAATAGAGATTGAACGTTAGAAGCTACAACACTACCAGTTTAAACTGAAGGGTATAGAGACAGAACAAAATGAAGGAGGATGCTTGGACTTCTTGAGTCATACAGGACGGGGCCATAAAAATAATATGTTGTGAATGTGTCCTATTCTTCAAGCAACTCAGAGATCATCAAGACTACCTCATGCCTGGTGCRGAGGTGCMCGCCTGTAATCCAAACAGCTTGAGAGGCTGAGGCAGGAGGATCACAAGTTCAAAGCCAGCCTCAACAAAAGCGAGGTGCTAAGCAACTCAATGAGACTCTGTCTCTAAATAAAATACAAATAGGGCTGGGGACATGGCTCAGTGGTTGAGTGACCCTGAGTTCAATCTCTAATACCCCCCACCCCACTCCACGCCCCCCCAAAACACTGCCTCATCTGTTTCAGAGAGAGGGGACATGGCCCCAGCTTTATTAGGCCAGACAGCTTCCAATCAAAGCTTTGGGGTAGGACCATCCTGCAGACCCATGGAGGTGAAACCACTCAGTGGAGCCTTGAACCAGGACTGTAACACCTGTAGGTCCAAAAGGTGGGGCAACATCCAAGCAAAGAAGATTATCTTTAGGCCTTAAGATTTAATGAATCTGACATAACTTTTCTATGTACATATATGAATACACCACAGTGAATCYTACCATCGTGTACATCCGCAAATTAATTTAAAATTAATGATAACATTGGGTAAATAGCAGAAAGAGCAATAAAGGGAAGGAAGCTGGGTGTGTGAGGAGGGTAGGGAAAGGATAAATACTGGGGTCTGAATTAGAACAAGATATATTCCATTCTTGTATAATTATGTCAAAAAGGATTCAATTGTTATATATGAAAAGAACCAATTTTAATAAGTGGAAACTCATTAAATTTTTCTTTCAGAACATTAAAAAAATTTTCAGTGGATCTAATGGAATCTGCTAGGTTTTAGACTTCCCTGGGACCCTCACTCCTGTCTTTTCTTGTACCTACTTATGGAATGGGAACACTTTTCCTTTGCCTGTCCTACCATTGTATTTTGGCRGTACATTGCTTGATTGCTTGTCTGGTTTCACAGGTTCACAGATGAAGAGCAATTTTGCCTAGCAATGAATCATGCCTGTGTTCTCACCCATATATGACGTATGTGAGATTTAGATGATATTTTGGATGTTAGACTTCAGAGTTGATGTTGAACCAAGTTAAGACCTTTTGGAATCGTGGAATGTGATGAATGTACTTTTGCATGTGATAAGGACATGAATTTTGGGACAGCCAGGAACAGACTTCGATGAACTGAATTATATGCCCCCACTCAATGTAACTGTATTTTAAGGTAGAATCTACAAGAAGATTAATTTTTAAATGAGGTCATAAGGTTGGGTCCATTCATAGAAGACTAGTGTCCTTATAAGATAATGAAGTTCTCTCTCACCCCATTTGAGAACAAAGTAAAGAGTGTGCCAACTACCAGCCACAAAGATAGCCCTTGCCAGAGACCGAATTGGTTAGCACTTTCAWCTTGGACTTCCCATCCTCTAGAACTATGAGAAATACTTTTCTGCATATTTAAGCCACCTAGACTGGTATTTTGTGTTAGCAGCCTAAGCTGAGAACCTGCCATTAGTAATCTTCCTGCCACCCTATCTAGGGATGCAATTCCCCGCTTCATCATACTTTGCTCAATTTAKTCAACTCTTCATGCATATTATCATCTAAATTTCAATAAATGTATTTAAATTTATCTTGATTATTTTTGTCTTCCCTGGTTACAACATAAGCTACATGAGGGCAAGGAATATTTTCTTTTATTCACTGTTGTATCTCCAACACCTGGATACTGCCTTATCATCTTGACATTGGAGCAGCAATATTTAACATGCTGAGGAAGATTGAATTTATCCTAGAAACTCAGGAAAGACAGAATTTAATGAACCCAAAGAGTACAAGTAAAAAATAAAAATTTACACATTAACTAAAATTAGAAGAAAAAGAATACAAACCCGGTAAAAGAGGATTGTATAAATGTACCCTTGTAGCAAAATGAATCTTTATCAGCAGTCTAAAAACCAGTTCTTAAATTTCATAAGAACAAATTACTAGGAAAAATGAGTACTTGCAGTAATTTGTAACACATATTACTCTGTGGTCAGTCCAAGAAAGTAATATGTATTATTTGCTTTGCAGGAGAGTAAATACTGTGAAATAATGGACACAAATCCATTTAAGCATAATAGTTATCATATTTCAATTTATTTCCATGTAAATTGGTTGTTACATGCTGAGTTAGTACAAAGAATTATAAAAAAAGATAATTAAATGCATTGGAAAATATAAAAAAATAAGTGCAGCATATTAGCCTACGTGATTTTTACTAAAAATCTTTGGATTATGAAAGCACCACTTAACTCCCTATTTGAAATCTCACAACAAACTCACTGCCAAAAAGCATATTCTATATTGAATTAGATCATCATCTCACAGAATACAGAATGTGCATTTCTAAGGCGAATCTATGTTCAACAACACACCAACATATTTTGGTACCACTAAATGTCAAGCATTATTCATGTGGAGTATTAACAGATTAATGTTTTCATTAAAAAAGAAAGATCTCTTTTYTCATTACATTATGCATTTATAGAATAGAGATCTGTCAAATAAATTACTACAAAGTAGTTTAAGCTAAACCTTATAACACTTGAATTATATAATCGGGGCAAATAACCTTTAAAATGAAAGACAAATGGAAAAATTTAAGGGCATTTAATTTGCATAAATGTAATGTTAACAGTCTTTTCCTGGTTATATATTTTATACTTAATTTATATATGTCACTACACTAGGTCCTTAACACTTTTATAGGTCAATTTTAATTTTTTCCCATTTTACTGTACCATAATAAGTAATATGGAAGTAGTTTATCATATATAAAAATAAGATGATCCCATAAAAGTAATTCAGTGTGATTCAGAAACATTCTAGCATTGGGACCATATTACAGTTCTTACGTTGTCAATTCCTGCTTTTAAATAGACATTTATGCTTTAGAATTCTCATGTGTCTAAAACTCATGTTCAGCTTTTGGACTCTGAGACCTTAATTTAAGGGACTTTCTCCAGGTTATCAGCTATCGGGTCCTTGGTGTGAGGGATAAACCTTAGGGTAAAGGACTTCCTGCAGTTCATGGTCTGGTCTTCCTTTTCTTTGAATTTGATACCCAAGATACTGACTTTAAAGTTTTATCCATTAAACTTCTACTATAAACATTGAAATGCATTCAAATGCAGTTGTTCAGACAATACGGTGTCAGCATTAACAATAAGATGGAACAACTATTCATTGATTAACATAATGATTTTAATGTCATCCATGGTCCATAATCTCTAACAAATTAGAAAATGCTTCTAGTGCATGAATTCAATTATAGGCTAAAGTTGTATAGTGAAATATCAATTTATATGCAGTCAAATGTATTTTCTTTTCTTGACTTTCCTTGACTCATGTTTATCTGCCAGTGACCAGTGGGTTAGAAATGGTGAATATGACTACCATCCACCATGGGAATTACTTAATTGGATAAAGCAGAGTGAAAATCCTTTCAATAAGGACATTTTACCTCCAATTACTGCCTCCACCTTTCTCTGGGACAGTGTTTGATGGGAATGTGAGTTACCCTTGTTTATTTCAATTAAAACTAGTAACAAAAGGATTGAGTCTATCTGGGGGACCAAGATTATTCTTTGTAGTTCATTCAATAAAAATTAAAATGGCTTGGATACATATGAGAATTAAAACATTGATTATTCTTTCATTTTATTATGTTACCCTACCTGAGAGTTAATGTTAAAATTAAGGATCATCTGAATATTTACCACACATTTGTTAGAGATCATTACAAACCAGTTGACAGGAGCTGGGATTGACTCTTATAGAGCCCATGAAAGAACATACGTGACAGTCTTCATTTTATTTCAACCTGCTTGTCAGACTTGTGAAATACCTGGCTTTTTCTTATACTGGTAGTTTCTAGAATAGTTAAAACACCATTAAGACTAAAGCATAATTATATATCTATGCCTATTTTGAAAATGAGATTTCTTCCTACATAGATCAGTTTGTTAGAGAAAAATATGAAATTATGTGCTTTCACGCAATTGAAAATATATATACAAGCATGAAAACATTAATTTATCCTGTTCAGCCTGGCCATTAGTATTTGCCAGTTTTCTGGTTGGTTTGGTGAGTCTATATATAATCATATCCAAGTTCTTATCTAACAAAAGGAAAAAAATACTATGTAGACCCCATTCATCCACATATCTATCTGGATATGGATAGATAAATATATTTTATTGAATGTCTCTCTGAACTAAGTCAGAACTACAACAGTTAATCTTACAGTGAGGAGCACATGGCAATTCTACTGGTGGCATTTTCTCACCTAAACATCATATTTGTRAAGAAAAGATATAATAAACTTCCACATTCCCTAGCTCAAATAAAACTAAAACAGAAAACAGAGCTTCTTGTAGGGTGGCAATGTGGAATTTGGAGCATTCTGTGTGAAGATTCTAAGCATTTCCAATACTCAAAGCAAAAACAGACCAATGTCAATAACTTGATTTTATTTGGATACCAGTTTTCTTCCAAATATGAAAACATTCTTGAATACTTCAGGAGTGAGTGCATTGAAGGATATAGAGATCAATGACTTCAATTTGTCATTTTTTGGTCATCTGTTTCTGATTCCTTTATTTCTGTGAATTTCATATCCTATTGTACAGAGTAAGATTTATTCCTATTGGTGTTTAAATGGCTTTGGGGGATACAAGGTACAGGAAAATGGCATATTTGCCAAGTTGTTTTGTGTATTAGTTACAGATGATCTGAACTTTTACAAATGAATTCTAAGGATTCCAAATTTCTCAGTTTTAAAGATAAGCTTACAGCAAAATAGAAGTAAAACAAAACAAAATGCTGTAATAAAATGAAATAAAATCATGTTTACTCTTCATACACTAAAGCTAAATGCATAGTGAKTTTTTAATAAAATAACTAAGTGAATTTTCTTACTAACAAAGATTAGGAAAAAAAAAAACTTTTGGCAAATCTTGACCAATGTTATGCAGTTACAAATTCACATCAACTTATTGGAGTGGAGGTCACATGCAGGATAGATACAATAAATTTTTTWAAAAATGTGCAAAATGCCAGTACATGGCTTTTTCAGAGAAGTTCCTAGAGTCAAGATCCATACTGCAACAAATGAGGCTCAGACCTCACTGTGGTCACCGAGTTTGTTGAAGTTCTGAAATAGAAGAGGAAGAAATAAACATACACTGCTTATTCAACTCTTAAATCAGTACCATTGGAAAAGAACAGTAGAAAGAGAAGCCAGCTATCCAGACACACTAAGAAAATGGACAGTCTATGAGGCAGGAGAGTATGAAGTTTACAGCTCCAGACCCACGGTCAGACTGCTAACTCTGAAACCAGCTCTTCCACTTACAAATGGCATAATGTCCGTGGCCCTCAGTTTCCCCATTTTGAAAAATGTTAAATAATAGTAGCTACCTCTAAAGTTGAGACAAGTTTAGTTAATTAATATAGATTGTAACCTTTAGAATATACCTGGAAGATGGTAAGTACTCAAAATATGAAGGGTATATAATGGGGATGATGGTGATAATAATCATCATAATAAATATTATTATTTTGTAAATACATACTCTTCTGATTAAATATAATAAAGATGATTCTATTAGGCACCAAATACTCTTCTAGGAATGAGGGAAGGCAAAATGATTCAAAAGTCACAGAAAAAGTGCAGGAAGTTACAGTGCTGGAAACAGTTTTAAAACTAAGTCATAAAGTCCGATATTTGGAAGGTAACTTTCATACCTCAGATCATGGGAGCACTAYAATCTGCAAATAATATTCCCAAAGATGGCAATCTAATAAGCTTGGAGGAAAGCATCAGAGCAGAAAAACTGGCAAGCTATATTTAGAGTTTTTATATTTGTCAGAGGTAGATTCAAACTTCCAGGACAATAGATCCCAGAAGAAGCATTAAAGCAAGCAGTTTGTAATTGACAGGTAAGGCCAAATCCTCTAAGTAGTAACATTGTAGTAAGATGCAATTATTAAATAAYTATTCATAACTGTCCCCAAAAGATGAATGGAAATATTATTTTTTGTTACAGATACTCTGAAGTGGAGATTGGAGGGATTTTAATAGATTTTAGATGTTAGTGAGTTAAAAAGCTAACACAAAAAAAATGCAAAGCCTTAATTCTATATTCTATATTTTTTACAACTCTTGCAAGCTCGTGTTATCAACTTACCTTGTTTGAATAAATGTTACTTATTGCAGCAGATACTGATTCAAAAAAAATTGGTTTCTCTGAGTCTAGGTTTCCATAGTACTTCATTGCTTTTATCAAGGAAGCTACGAGAAAGCAAAGGAAAACACCAAAATACATGAAGCAATGGAAGGATCATGTTCAGTGTTAGCCAAGGACACCCTCTTACCTGTGCAATTGGCTAATAATACATCCACACTCTGGTCCTTACAGTCCATGTACACCTGGAAGAATTAAAACAATACACCCACAATTAATTCAGAATAGCTAGCAAGAAGGAATAAAACAGGAATTGAGAGTGTCTTGTTTTTGTTTTTTTTTTTTTTTTTAAAAAGTATGAAGTCAACCACCAGAGGGAGACATGGCTACATAGTCGGTCACAAACTGGCAAGCATCTAAAAGACTAAGGTTAGTATGAGTGAGGCATCTACCTTGACTRCAATTAAGTCTGGCTGCTTATGTTTTCAACTTGATTGAATAAAAATCAAAACATCATCTTTCCTTTCCAGTAAGAATGATATAAAACTGTTCTCAACCACTTTTATTGTAAGTCAAGAAACCATTTGTGAAATTAACCTGCTGACCTGCTGCATATTTTAATATTTTACAATAATTTAGCATATCTATGGACTGGATAAATTCTACCCAGGGATGAAAAATTGAGAATATTACTATGATTCACACAATTTTGGTTTTCCAACTTTCTTTTTTTTGGCATTGRATTTGAACCCAGGGACGCTTTATTATTGAGCTATATCCCCAGTTCTTTTTGTTTTTATTTTGAGACAGCACACTAATCTTTTTAGGACCTGACTTATTTGCTGAGGCTGGCCTGGAACTTTCAATTCTTCTGGTTCAGGCTTCCCACTCTCAGATTACAGACATGGACCTTGGACCCAACTGGATTTCCATGTTTAAAGGTCTATCAAGATGAGAAATCCTTACTAATTTCCTTGGCATACTTTACTGTCTTGMCCCTTAAGTTCCAAAAAAATCTCAAGAAGACACAATTTGTGAAAATCTCTGATCTTAAATTCATCCAGAACAAAATCAACCATGAGAGTCAATGACAGTAAATCTAGACATTTTAGTTTCAGGAGGATAAATYTGGTTATATAATTGTTATATATCTTTCATGAAAAGTGTAGAAATCTACATTTGCTATACAGTCTACGGGTATATGTAATACATCCCAAGGGTCCCTCAGATTCTTTCAGCAGCAAATAATTTTCTCTATGAAAGACTAATTGTGAAATAATATTTATATCACTTGGGGAAAAAATGATCAAACAAAACATAAAAGAAATGAAAATGTGGACTTAGACTTTAACATTGAATAATTAGCTCCTGCTTGTGTTAAAATAATTAATTCAAGGTGACCTCTCAGTGTTTGACTTTTTCTTCAGCTCAGTGGAGCACAAACACATTGCTATGGGTGGTTTGTTGATGCTGATAAACATAATCTCTAGTTCACTGACCTCTCTCGTGTCCCAAGTAAAAGAATAAATAGAAGTCATCCCACTTCCTTCAACCTACAACTTCCAGGGAAATGTTCCTTATGCTAAAGTGAACAAGAAGTGTTAACCAAGGGAGTGTTAACATCTCTRGCTAAAGAAGTCCTGTGGTTCTTTWCTCTGGCTTCTCTTCCAGGGTAGCTGGAACTAAGAAATAATAATAGTGGGAATGATATTAGTTGTACTTTATGAAATGACTTGTTAGAATTAGAAAATGGAAAGCTAACATTATTGAGTACTTATCAACTGGCAGACATTTTATTAGGTGGATTTTTTTGTTTGTTTTGGCATTGGACATTGAACCCAGGRACACTCTACCACTGAATTATATCCCCAGTCCTTTTTACTTTTTATTTAAAGACAGGGTTTTGCTAAGTTGTCCAGGCTGGCGTCTAACTTGAGGTCCTCCTGCATAAGCCTCCTGAGTTGCTAGGATGACAGGCATGGCCAACGCACCCAGCTTCTTAAGTGCTTTATATGTAATATATCCATTCTAAGTCTCATAACTTGATGAAATGAATACCTCTACTACTGGTTCCTAGAATTGCAAACAAACATTTGATCCTACCCATGTTGTCTATTGTATATAATAATGTTATTTAAATAATGAGGAAATAAATCAAATAGTAATAAGAAAATTTTAAAAAGGGAATACTAATATAAAACCACCAGCTTTGTATATACAGATATATATATATATATATATATATATATATATATATATATATATACACCTAGCCAAGGGCAAATGTTATTCTCTGCCAATTTAAAAATAAATTGGTTTGGGGATGAAGCTCATGGGTCAAGTGCTTGCCTAGCATGAATGATAACCTGGGTCCAATCCCCAGTACCACAAAAAATAAAGAAATACAATTAAATAAATAGATTGCATCTGTTGGTTTATTTCACCATTCGGCGGTATAAAATTTTAAAACCATAAATGAGAAAGAAAAACAAAAAAACAAGTTCTTTTTCAACATGCCCAGTGCTTAGATTGTTTGGATTCCTCTGAATTGTCCACCTAAACTCAATGGGAAGAGGTAACAACTTCCTCCTCTTTTATAATCCTGTCTTGTTTTTAAATGTCTAGAGAGGGCAGCTAATAATTTCAGAAACAAATTTAAAATGCAATTGATCAAAAAATATGCATACCAGCCTTTCCAAGTAAAAGAACAATTCTAGTCTCATGTTTCTCAAAATATGATCCCTGGACACCTAGAATTACCCAGGGTTGTTTAAATGAATATTCTGGACCAGAATCAGGTTTCAAACAAATGCATTTCGAAGGAGCATCCAAATTACCTTGAAGCATAAAAGTTGAAGACCTTGGAAACACAAGTAAATAAAAAATGCCGAACATAAAAAGCCTTCCAGTGGAGAATGGCTACGTGTTTGCAATCCAGGTTTAGTTGCAAGAAAATACAAAATATTTGGTATACTGTACAAAGCTTTTATGTTAAAAAAAAAGAAGGAAAAAAAGTATAAAAGGGTAATTTGCCAAAAGTAGCCAATAGATTTAAAACCTGAAGTATTTAAATTTCAATTGTTTTGTATTATTTATTGTCTTGATATATCTCCCAATCCAGAATCAAAATCACTGCCTCATTTCTACAAAGGAATCAGCTGAGATCCAGGTAGGGGACGTAACTATTGACACCTCAGTGKGTATGGCAGAGCCAGTGCTTTCCCTCCACATGCTCCTGCCCAGAAAAGTGACAGGATGGCTTACCTCTGTACTTCCTTGACTTTGAAAAGTTCAACATTTCAAAATCAATTTAAAATACAAATGAATAGAGACTCAGGTTTGCATTCTCACAAGAAAACCATCAAAATTCACAATGTAAAACAATGTCAAAGCTACAAATCCAAACACTTTAAAAATCAATGTCTGGCCGGGCATTGCTTGAAATCTCAGTGGCTCTGGAGGCTGAGGCAGGAAGATCATGAGTTCAATGCCAGCCTCAGCAAAAGTGAGGTGCTAACCAACTCAGTGAGACCCTGTCTCTAAAATAAAACACAAAATTGGGCTGGGGATGTGGCTCAGTGGCTGAGTGCTCCTGAGTTCAACCCCCGGTACCCCCCAAAAAAGTTAATGTCYGATTTCTACTTTTAGCCATAATGAGTAACTAACGAGAGACCAACCCATCTTCCACAAACAAAGAGACAATTGGACAACAACATACAAACAACTGTATTTAGACAATAGGCCTCCAGTGGTTTAGGACCAAGYCTCCTAAAAGCAGCAAGACAGATGAGGCAAGTCCTCCAGAGCTCAGCTTGTTGCCACAAAGCAGATTCCCAAATCCACTTTGGTGTGGATTGGGGAGATCCAAGCAAAATGAGCTGCTTATATGGATTGAGAAGACAGAACAGGAGTTCGGGGAGGGGAGATGGTAGAGAGAATATAGAAAGGAAGAAGACTTGCAGAGAAAATTTTCTAGAAATTTTCACAGTATTTTGATTAAGGCTTTGAGTTAATACTAAGCTGCTCAGGAGATATGAAGATAAGAAGAYTGGATAGAAAGGATATGAAGGAGATAAAGATTGCTAGGGAACCAGCACCTGAAGACCAGCCACACTGGTGCGCAGACACTGGTGGAGGACTGAGAATAGAGGTTTTTCCACCCTCAATCTGTTGTCCCACCCCAATCTTCAATTTAGAATATTGAGGGGGASAACTGAAGGAAATAAGGAAGGGGGCGAATTCCTTATTGATTTAATATTTATTTTTAAAAAATAGAAAGAGAAAACAAATGCCAAAAGTGTCTTAAATTTCCTTGAATTCACAAAATTAAGTGTTCTTCCATCTGCGGAAATGAGGTTTGTGAGTTATGGGGGTTTTCAACAGTGGACTTTGTGTTTTGCACATGTGGGTCATGGAGAAGCCATGGAAATAATGGCATAGAGGAGGTATCATTGCCAAAGARAATAGAGAAAAGTCCCTGAGTGGGACACTTTTTGAGAGGCCAGGAATAGTATTGGGCCACCATGTGAGAGAACAAGGCCATTTGATCATGTAGTTGGCGTTCTGTAGGGGACTTTTACTCTTTTGGAAACCTTGCATGCCAACTGCTATAGATGCTATGCCCACCACATCTCAAGGCTGTGTTTTATACCTACCCAGTAAATACTCCATCTCTGATCCTCACACATGTACATACCTAAAAGCTTGATGGGATCTCCCRAAAGCAAATCTACAGTGGTGTGAAGTACAATGTCTTACGTCCCTTCAAGGGAAGGATTATCAGACTTCAGAGCTGAGAGAATGGCTGATGAAGAATCCCGTTACTCAAATTATGTTATATGCATGTATATGCGATGGTGAAACCTACCATTCTGTGTAATTAATATTTACCAGTAATTTTAAAATAGGCCTGTTACTAAAGAGAAGGGAAGGAATCAATCCAGACACAGACTGTGAATACCTCAACCAGCATGGAGACGCCAGAATAGTCAAAAAAGGTCAAGCCACTGCAATCCAGGATTAAGGCCGACTTGTCGTGAGAGCTTGACTGTGTGGTTTCCTCTGTAGGAAGAACAGAGACTTCAGTTAGGGAATATTCCCAGACGTTTTTGCTGCTGACTTCATTGAATGGTGTCAAGACAATAGTGACCTCGTGTTTAAAAATAATAATTCCAAACGCCTCTTCATTTTTACATTTTCAGTTAATTACTAATTATTTTCTGAACTTGGATATTTTATTGTTAGGATGTTATTTAAGGTAATTATCACATAACTCAGAGAGGAAGGCAGGGTAGTTTAATTACCAGTATCATTTCACAGATAGACAAATGGGGTAGGCAAGTTTAAATGATTTTGAAAAGATATCTAACAAGTTAGAACTAAAAGCGAGGGTAGAACAGAGGCCTCTAAGGATATGCTTTCCACGATATTACATGTTTTCTTGATGGGTGTGCCCAGAGGAACAGCCCTGTTTTGTGATGCTTGAGGTTTACACAATCTGGGATTCASACTTTAAGTCAAAGATCCATTTCTKCGGCTTGTCCCACAAATTTTAAAGGGACCTGTATGACAGACCCTGAAAATTAAGCTTTATTTTCATAGTAAAACTGCCTAAAACTGCCTCTGAATGTACTTAATAGGAAAGAAAGAAAAGATGCTACTTGGGAATTTATGACTTCTTTTTTGATTGACATTCTCAAGGCCACAGCTTCCTCATGTGAGATGATGTTTCTAAATGGTGACAAGTCCCATTTGGGATTCCTCTAAACATAACATAGCTCTCAGAGAAGACCATGTAGGCTAAATGTATCCCCAGAATTAACAGTCAACATTTATGAGATAAATTCCAATTCATAATTATCATGAAATTCTCTGGAAAAATTAATTCTTAATTAGAATAATTTGCTAGTAAAAATTCTCAAGGTTTCTCCTCTATTACAGCAGAAAATGTGAGTATGATTGTTTCTTGATTTGTAGAAAAATATGAGGGAAAGAATGTTTTAAACAAACTACTGCTAGAGTGAAAAACAGAAGAACAGAAACTATAAAAGAGACATGAAAATTTTTATATGGCAGTAACTGTTAGAAGAAGGAGAAATGATACAAAGTAAATTTCAACATATTTGAAAGGTGGTATTCAGGTACATGATTTGTTTTGAAATTTCACCTTTGGGTGTATATTTGTATTTATTAATTGATCAGTAACTACAAAGTATATAGTATGTTGAGGACATTTTWAAAATACAGTGGGTACTAACAAATATGAGTGAGATGATCCTACTTTCTTCAAGGAACTTATAATATCCTTGAGTGACAAGAATAGGATTGGTTCAGAAGTGACATATGATTAAAAATGATAAAACGAAAAAGAATGAGAATTTACTAAAGGAGAAGTCTCACTGGAGTGATTGGGGAAGGCTTCATGTGAAAAGCAGCCTTCAAGGAAATGATGCAGAGATGTAAGCATCCCAACCATATGGACAGCTTTAATTAAACACTAATGACAGCTTCAGATCTCAGACTCCTCCTGCTCCCATTCAACCRGCATGTACTGAGGGGCGACTCTGGGCCAGGCACTGCAGTTGTGCCTTCTGTTGCCCTGTTTTTCCTGCAAGAAGGGGCTAAGCAGTTACTACAGGTTCAGGCTATGCTTCTATTGGTCTAAAATGATAAATTAGAACTTCAAACAAAATTGAAAGTCACAACAACTTAGCTTATCCACTGACCGCTCTATGTGGTGGCATTGTTAGCCTTCACCATTTGTCTCAATAAACACAGGACTTACCTCTATTATTGCAGGGACCTGTTGATACTCTTGGGTATAATGTGCCCTGCTCATTATCAGACAGGAAAAAAAAACTGAGATGTCACAAAAAAAGCAAAATACTTGCTCTAAGAAAAGAATATTCAATAGTGGAGTRTTGGTCGGRTTATAAGTACATTTTTATGTAATTTAGAAACATTTCATTAAATTTTGAGGATATAAAAACCTCTCAGTTAAACATCAGGTAAGTATCTGTGGTTTTTGATGTAGATCTTTTTTGAAGATGCTTATTTTAAAAATGAAATTTATATGGCTTCTTTGCTCATGCTAATCACGTACACATCTTCCCTACTCCGTGTTCAATGAGAACATGTTGGTGGCTTGACATTAGTGATGATGTAGATATTTTCATCATAGGAATGTTGGCAAATGTTACAGATAAGTGCTTCTGTGCAGCACCACCCCATGTCCCCCACTCCAAAAATTGCTTGTTAAAGATGTTCCAGCACACCAATGCTTGGAGGTGGGCATGCTTGTTAAACATTAATAAAAAAAATCATCAGTTAAAAAAAATATAGCCTTCATTAAATGAATGGCTTAGACCACTGAAATATGTGGCAAAAGATCTTAAATTAACAATAATGACACAATTTGATATCAAAATTAGTTCTTCTATCTTCCACTTTTTATAATATGTTCTGACCAAATGACATCAAATAGTACATATTTCAAAATAAGGTATAATCTAAAATTCTTTATCCAAAAATTTCTGTAGGAAAATAGCATTAATAATTAGACCTAAAAATAAAAATTAGTGAATAACAAATTTTTCTAATGTGTTATTCTTTATTCACTAGAAAGCATAATCGYAATGTTTACAAGAGAGGGTTAGTAAAAATAAACCGAAATTGAAACAATATAAGTCACATTTGATTTTTTAAGTCAATAAATTTTATTAAAAGAAACTACAAATATTATTGCTTATACCCCTGTGGCATGAGTTCTATCATCAGATTCCACAGCAGGGCAGACAAGATTATTTAGTTTACTTTTTCCACTAAGGTCAAACAAGACCTAAGTATTTTATCAACTCAGCATTTTGGAAAACCACTACTAGGTGACCAAAAATTTGTCACTCTGAACATTAAAAATACTACAGTGAAAAAAATCTGTGTATTTATCTAGAGAGATTGATAGCTGTATCTAAAATAGCAAATACTTATCCACAACTATATGGCATGAGTCTTTTGTTTTGCTATTGTTGATAAAAAGATATTGAAAATATTTTTTAAAACAAGTTTTTTTCTTTCTATCTTACTACTTTTATTTCACTTCTAAATTGTACTTGTCATCCTCTCTTTTCTTATAATTATTTCATAATTTAAGTGGTGATGGATTATGAACCATGTAAATGTTTGGGCTTTATCAGTAGTGATATAAAATTTTCTCTTCCATTGTCTCAGAGTGTGTWCATGCCATTACTTTCTTTGTCTTTTATTTTTATATGTGAGTTTCTTTTCTGCATTTTTTTTTACTTTTTTTCCTTTTGTAGTTGTAGATGGACAGAATGCCTTTATTTTATTTGTTCATTTTTATGTGGTGCTCAGGATCAAACCCAGTGCCTGACGCATTCTAAGCAAGTGCTCTGTCACTGAGCTACAACCCCAACCCCTGCAATTCTTTTAATCGATATATGTCTATATTCTTCAGGCCATCCAAAACAAAAACAAAATAAAACAAAGCAAAACAAAAGACTCATGCCATATAGTTGTGGATAAGTATTTGCTATTTTAAAAGAAGCAATTCATGGTGCCTTTTCTAAATAAAAAAGACAAAAGGATATCCCAATGATTAAGTCACCAATTCACTCAAATAAAAATTAAAATACAGTGGACATTTCTGAAATCTTCTTAAAAAATAAGTGAAGTCTTCCTTTTACACAGTATCCTCTGGGTTCTGCAATTGTGCTGATTTTATGGATATAACCTTGTGTTCTAAGCTTCTAAGTAAATCAACTAGTGCAATAAAAATCACATCATCCCAGAAAAGAGTAAAGTGAATGCACAGCTAATATCCTGCCTTAAGCAAAATAAGGTAAGCTTGGAGCATGTGCAGAGAGACAACTAATCTATACCCATGTGGGATGTGGTAAATGATAGGCTTTATCTACAAAAAAAAATAAATAAATAAGAAAACATTTCAGAAAGAAATTAACCATCAGGTGTGGGTGGGCAATTAACTCCAGACTGTGGAAGCCAGMTCTTTCCTGTAGAATATTCATTAACTCCTTTAATTAAAAAGTATTCATAGTTGCATAATTTAGAAGTGCCTTTCATATACTTCAAAAGATTCTTGACAGTCTGTGAGTCACTCATAATTTTTTAAAAGTTAAGTATTTTCTGTTGATATCAATTAACTATTGAGAAACAGATTTCTTAAAAATCTCTAATTTTCTCAAGAAATAAGGGTACAAGAAACATTTAAGACAAACAACAACACTACCTTTGGAAACATGCACATGTTWTTGAGAATTTCATTCATTCATTTATTCATGTGTTCATTCAAGTAGTATAGATGCTCTGGAGTTCTTACTCTAAGTACCATCTTAGGAAATGTGAGTTCAACAGTGAACAAGAGAGATGATGGTCTCTACCTKCAGTGGACTCACAAACAGGGAAACCAGTCAGTTGAACTGGTAATTCTAAGTGTTGTGAAGGCTGAAAAAAATTAAAGAAAGTGCTAAGGAAGCACAGGAGATCGGATGTGGTTGACAGAACAACCCACCCCACCCCCTCCATCTTCACAACTAATCTTCAGGATCTGTGAATAGGTTACCTTGTATGGCAAAAGTAGCTTTGCAGGTTTGATTAAATTAAGAATGTTAGGATTTGAGATTATCCTGTATTGCCCAGGTGCATCTAATGCAATCATAGGAGGCAAGAGGTATAGCCAGAGCATATGCTGTGACAAAAGAAGAGGTCAGAGAGATTTGAAGATTCCACACTGCTGGCTTGAAAATGCAGGGTGGGGCAGATGCCTACAAGAAGTTGAAAAGAACAATAAAATAGAGTGTACTCTAGGGCCTCTAAAAGGAATATATCCATGCCAAAGTCTTGATTTTATGTCCTTAATATTCATTTCAGATTTCTGTGGCCCCAAACTGTAAAATAATAAATTGTGTTATTTTAAGCCACTAAACTCAACTATTTGCTACAACAGCAGAAGGAAATTTATACACCAGAGCTGTTGATTTGGGTGGTGTTATGGACTGGGTTATAAGATTTCTCCCCAAAACTCACGTGTGTAAAGACTCAAGATTGTTTATAGGTGAAATGATTTTGATCAGCCTATTAATCCATTCAAGTGGAYTAATGGGTGGTAATTATAGGCAGGTAGGACATGACTGGAGGAAATAGGTCACCGGGGTGTGCTCCTAGGGATTATATTATCCCTGGCTCCTTGCACTCAGGCTCTCTCTGCTTCCTAGCTGACACAAATCCAGCAACTTTCCTCTGCCATGCCCTCCCRCCATGATGTTCTGCCTCACCTTGGTCCCAAAGCTGTGGAATTGGCCAGCCATAGATGGAATCTCTGAAACCATGAGCCAAAATAAACTTTTCCTCAAGTTTTTCTTGTCAGGCTTTTGGTCACAGTGCTGAAAGCTGACTAACATAGGGAATAGAAGAGGGTGAGAAGAGGACCTTGTTTAGACTTCAGGGTCCACACGAAGAAACCATAAACCATGTCTTCTTTTTTTATCCTTGAAAATGCAGGATCTATGACTGCACTCAAGATTTACTGCATGTTCAATAAATGTGAGAAATATTTGCTGAGTGAACAATGGCAGGAATGAAGGAATGGGATGTGTGAGCTGAGACCTGGAGGAGGACTGGAGTTTAGTAGATAAACAGGAGCTGGAGGCTAAACTGGCAAATCATAATACTAATGGAGATCTCAACAGGGTGCCTCTTAGATCAACATAAGATGACTAAAATGTTGTGGGGACCCAAACCACTAAACATAGTCATAGAAGATTTCTCCATAGRTGAGCAATTGTTATTTTCATTCAGAGAATTACCACATTTTCTATCTTATGATATATGTGGCTTCTTTCATATCTTTTGATTATTCTATCATCTGTTCAACTATGAATCTTCTCCTGAGAAGATTAATTCTCTTCTACTTTGCTCATTGCTGTATTCAGTTCACGCCTCCCTCAGCTTTGGTCACTTCTGGATCTTTTCTGTATTCTCCAAAACCCACTGAATGTCTCCGACATGACCTCCCATGAACTTCAATTTACAATGCTCCAAATCAAACTCAGCTTCTCTGTAGCCACCCTCCTGGGATCCTTATTACTCCCAGCTAGAATGCTTCAAAGCTTTAGAATCATCATTTGTTTCACAGCAGAAAAAAAAAATATGAAATTTATACTAATTCTTTCTGAACTTAATTAAGGACARAATCAGAGTCACAAAGTGAAAATGTATACATAATGAAACCAAGAGTTACAGGTTTTAGTGACTAAATGCGTATTGTCCCTTTGTCCCAGATGTTGACAGCCTATAAAAATTTACACTGGTCAATAAATACACCATTTGTGGCAACTTTGAGATAATTATTATGTTTTTAGAGGTCTATTCTTTTGAGAAAAGCAATAGGTAAATGATTAGAGTACTTAAATRTGTATATGTATGTATACATACATACAGATGAAAATACAAGAAGCATATATAAGCTCTAGATTATGATTTTCAACTTATTTTAATAGGTCACATCAATTCTGTTGAAATATTTACAGAATTGAAAACTTGGGACTTACTAGTTTAAATTGAGAGGGGGAAATCAAGAACAAGAGCAATAAACCTAGCCTTGGCATTTAAAGTAGAACAGTGAGGGCAGGATGTGTGACTGAACAAGAGGGAAGAGGACTGAGGATGTTTTTGGAGTGTCTAAAGACAGGAGAGGATGAAGATGGCAGAGGAATATTCTCATCAACTACTTCTGACCACTGKAAAGGGCCACTGGGCGCCAGCGTTTCAACAGGATACAGCAAAGTGGCTTTCTCATCAGCTACTGTTCTGTGCAAAGTGGAATAGGTGCTGGGAGGCAGAGGTGAGAACTCCCTGAAAAGTTTTCATTTTAACAGCAAAGTAAACCATTGAAAAAGCCATCATTAAGTAAGCACTATATCACTATTTTAGAAGAGTTCTTTGAGAACACAGGCAGGAAACTGCAAATTTGCCATGARAATTTAGGAAAGACCAGAGAAGTTAATACTTAAACTGCATCCATTTTGACATGAATGGATGCAATTGATTCACATATTTCTTTTCTGTTCTAATATATATATATATATATATATATATATATATATATATATATTATATATATTATACATATATCACACTTTAATACAATAATTACTTAATACATATTTAATCAATTATATAAGCATTCTGTATTTTTCTATCCATTGTACTATTGACAAATATTTTGCTTGTTTCCAGTTTTTTATAGGATAATAAAGAGTGCTATTATGAAAAATCTTGCACTATATTTCCCCATTAGTAGAATTCACTGGTAAAGACCCTGAGGTAAGGAATTTTCTTTGTGAGAAGATTTTGAAGTAATGATTTAATTTCTTTAGYAGTTACAGAAAAATTTATAGGAATTTCTTTAACTTTCTGAATCAGTTTTTGTAAAATTATAGGTTACTAAGAATTTGACCATATTTTCTTTTGGATCAGGCGACCAATAACACTCTCATCTTTCACACATCCATAGTGAATGTACATGAATGGTGTGAAGAAACAAATGGTRTGAACATACTCTGTATACAAGCAGAAATATGAAAAATTGTACTTTACATATGTAATATGAAATTTAATGCATTCTGSTGTCATATATAACAAATTAGAATAAAAGATTTATTAAAAAAACAAAGTAGATAAAAAGATAAAATAAAAACACTTAGATTCCTTTTTACCTAAAGCTCACTCACCATTGCAGTTGCCATTGGATAGAGAATTCAGCAGTGTGTTTTGTTCACACTGAAATGAAAACAAATGCAAAGAAGAATAATGTTATTAAAAAATGACACTGTCCATGGGGGGGGGGATAACACATAATTTCTTATCTACAGTGAAAGAAAGTCTCCAGAAAATATTCTTCACAGGATTTGTTTTCAGAATTCTTCATACAATAAACTTTGAAATTATAAGATGAAAAAGACTTCTAAGGGTATATTAGTTCATGGATTATTGATGTTATCAAGTCAGACTGTCTTCTTTAGAATGTTTGCTGTAAAACTTAGTTTGTTTCCATTTTGGGTYGGAAATTAAACATTTGTTTGAGTTTATCGTGTAGCATACACAACAGAAATTAAYCTCATTAACAGGGCATTCTCAGAGACAGAGAGAGCCACGTGTCAGACATTTTGTGTTACACAAAAGTTAWATCCATGAAAATGCCTGAGAAACATTCCTAATTTATGGAGATGCCGGAGAAGGAGAAGGAGAATGGCTCTCTATCCTTCAGTGAAGCTTCTCTRRCAATATCTGATGCCCCTAATGAGACCACATGCTATCTACTTCTTGAACACTGTATTATTGTTATTTTCATTAATGGGGATGATAGCAACTGGTATTTTTTCAGTACTTACTGCACACTGAGGACCTGATGTTGATCATTTCATCCTCAATCTCATTTTCCACATGAG